CCCCAAGTGGGGCATGCGCCTCTTCAATGTCTTGGGAACCTTCAAGATCGTCATTCTCCTCCTCATAGTCTTCTCTGGATTCGCTGCTCTTGCTGGTCGACTAAAGATCCCCGAGGGACAGCCTCGGCCCAACAACTTTCATGACGCATTCAGCTTCAACGGTGCTTTTGGTGCCGGTGGCGTTTACAACTATGCCACAGCTTTGCTCCGAATCGTCTTTTCGTACAAAGGATGGGAGAACGCCAACTATGTCCTCTCCGAGGTCAAGAATCCTCGCAAGACCCTTGGCATCGCTGCTCCATTGGCAGTTGGAGGTGTAATGATCCTCTATGTGCTCGCCAATGTCGCCTACTTTGCGGCCATTCCGTCGACAGATCTTGCCAATTCCGGTGTTGTTGTCGCCGGCCTCTTCTTCCGCAACGTCTTTGGCAACACAGCAGGTGCGCGTGCGCTCCCCGTGTTTGTAGCCATGTCGAATATAGGAAATGTCCTTGCAGTCTCGTTCGCCCATTCGCGTGTGAATCAAGAATTGGCGAAGGAAGGCATCCTCCCCTTTTCCAAATTCTTTGCTTCCAATAAACCGTTCAACGCGCCCGCAGCTGCACTATTCCTCCACTGGATCGTCACCGTTATTGTCCTCTTGGCTCCTCCTCCGGGTGAAGTTTACGAGTTCATTGTTGATCTCTATACCTATCCCGGCACATGGATCAATTCGTTTGTCGCGGGCGGTTTGATCTACCTCCACTGGAATAAATCTGAAAATTGGTCAAGTCCATGGTACAGCTTTGACGGAATCAACTTACTTTACCTGTTGAGCAATGTTTTCCTTGCCATCGTCCCCTTCATTCCTCCCAAAGTCAACACCAGAAGCTACCCGCACTATGTGTTCCCTCTCGTTGGAGTTGGTGTGCTTGTCTTGGGTGCCGGTTACTGGGCGATATGGGTCAAGATACTACCAAAGTTGGGCGGGTACAAGATTGTGAGTGAACGCAAGATTGACGAGCAGACGGGAGGAGAAGTGGTGAGGTATAAAAAAGTCAAAGTCACCTAGAATGCTAGAACTGTGATTCAGAGCCCTGCATTGTAACATAGAAATCGAGAATATAGGTTTCTCGAAATGTGATGACTAGTAATGAGCCAAATTAACACGTTTGTCAAGTAATGATTCGTAGCTTAGGCGAGGTCTTTCGATTGAAGTTTCCTCCTCTTGAAGACGGGGGAGATCATTTTTACAGGAGTGCCCTAATGATTAGCATGAAATAGCACTAGTTCTGAAGCGTGGCGGT